TTGAAAAATAACGTCAGACATAGAAGAGGAGGCAACACATTGGAAAGGGATTGGTGGATATCGAAAGCGGTGGCAATACGAAGAAAAGGTTCCCAGTATGTGTCCAGTTGCTTCACACTAGATACTGTAATAGCTCTAGTTTACCTTAAACTGCGATAATATTTCTGTAGACTTCCAACCCCTGACGTTAATTAACAATCATTCAAGTGCTAGTCCTACACTTTGACAGACAGATGCTTAAAATGACCGTTGCTTTTGATTTTGCCCAAGAATATATCCGTAATATAATACGATGGATGTTCAGAAAAAAGGTTACAAGCCGCATCATTCGAAAACTACATATTGTGGCGAAATTTTGTTTCCCGAGAGTGGAGACAGATAGTGCTACTTTTCATACAGCTGGTTTGCGGGTAGGTAGTGGGAGTTCCCAGATGGTTCAGGACGATTGAAATGGCAGAAGCGTAGGAAATTGGTCCGTTTTGAAGTGCGAGCCATGATTAGATTTTCATGGGCAAATAATGTGTCCGAATCTGACATTCATCGTCAAATTCTGGAAGTTTATGGTGAAGGAATGAGCAGACATGTAGCGAAATAGACACTATTTTCAACCAGGCGGACAGGATGTCGCGAACCGGAATATAGCAGGGAGCAGCCGGCCATGTTCTTCAACGACAGAAATCAACACGGCACGAATTGAAGTGATTCAAAATGATCGATGGGTAACTCTGCGGGAAATTTCGTCAAAGCTGGGACTGAGCTATGGTAGTGTGCAGCATATCGTTTCTGATGTGCTGCGATAGTTCAAGACAGTGCTGTGAAAACATCCACCGAGACCTGGCTCGATGAACAGGGACCTGATTTATATCAAGACCGGTTAAGCAAGCTGATTCTGATAAATGCCTAAATAGTCTTTGTGATTATGTCGAAATGTAATAGACACGTTTGCCTTTTGATTCCCTTTTACATTTTCTGGTTATTGTTAATAAATATTTCTTTATTCGGCTTGTAGTTTTTTTCTGATCACCCCTCGTATAAAGAAACAATGTTCATTTGACTAGATATGTTGCAGTACAGCAATGCTCGTCATCACTGCAGACACATTTTCAGCTGCAGTGCCAAAGCTTTAAATGTGGGCACAGCTGACATTCTTGCAGATGCCACGTTTATAGAGTCCTGGACTCGAGCCAAGTTTCTGAGTTGGGGTACAACTTCGATGCATTATCAGGGACATATTTGTCATCTCCTTCGTTAACTACCAATGCCGATAAGATCATATATTATAAATGACTTTCTTGAAACATATTGATATTTGTATGCTGTATATATTTACGATTAATGGGAATAGCAATATCGCATAACAACTCGCAGTCCTAGTAGGCCAGAATCTTATCAAGGTTTCTACATCGACATATGCTCTTGGAGTTTTTTTACGAGCTATACACAAACGAATAACATTTGAATATGCTATACAATAAAATCGGGCAATATTATATGCACTGAAGAAGAGCTGTGTAGATTGGCTGGTTCACGTTAAATTTTCTGCTGAAATACAAAGCACTTTCGTTTGTATGGTGCGGTAATTTGGAGAGGGGGGGGGGTGCTGGCTCAAATGTCTTTCATCCACTTGACTATGGTTTAAAATTACAAGCTCTAGTCACCAATAGTCTTCATGTGACTTAAAAGTGTGGCGTAAATAAAATGTCGACACGTGGAACAGGGTCTTCGCTCCTCACTCTTGAAACTGTGCTTTAAGTATAATATTTAATGCACAGGTGAATGGTTCCACAAATTTGAAATTTTGGCATTACAGGGGTTTGAGAGATGTGCTCTCCTCAAATGCCGTCAAATTCTGAAGTTTTTTGCTCGTTATTTTTGGTTTAAATTATCTGTTAACAGAGAAATGCTTCAAGAATTTTGGTATATATTGTCAAGAATATTCTCTTGTACTATTATGTCTTCAAAGACCGTTTTCAGCTTGCCCAAAAAGTACTGGTATTGAGAAGGGAAGGTAAAACTTATAAAAGTAGAGAAAGCCCTTACAATGCCCATGCAGCTAGTGTTTATATTGTTAAAGATTCCGTTGTATAGAGGCTGTCTACACGTGAATGTAATAATGTTAGTTTTGTATCTTTGGTTCTAACTTTGATTCAATGATATATCTTTATTAGTCATAAAGTTTCTATTCAGATTAAATGAAAATAAGAGTTAAAAACAATTTAGATTTTAGATTTAATTACAAAGATATAGTGCTTACATAACAAAGACATAATTTGGAAAATTCGAACGACTGATTGTCTTTTTCACAATCTAAATAAGACTGATCATTGGAAATACAAGCCAATTTCGATTTAAATAGACTTTAGAGTTCTTAAAATAGTAGGAACTTTTACCTTATCTAGTCATGTTCTCTTTGATATGTCGAACAGTGAGTGGATGTCAGTAACCGTGAAATGTTGACAGCCTGAAGAGAAGATTTGCACTTTTTTAAAACCATGTGTTTTTTTTTGTTGCTGTAGCCACTTGTTTTATGTGAGATTACTTAAGGTTTGTAAATTTAAAAAGAACTCTATATATTCTATTAATGATATTAAAATAGGTTGTAGAAAATACATGAAAGTATGTACTGTCTGTTGATTAAAAACATCTTCACTCAAATTATACAAAATTTTTTTCCTAATGGAGCTGCATATTGGCAACCACAAAATGAAAATAAAAGTACTGACATTCGTCAGTCATCATAATAAATACACATTCTTAGGGTTCTAGTCTTCCATTTTGATTTATTTATAAAATATCTGAAATTTAAAAATTAGGAGACATGCATACAACTATAAAAATTAATTCCCTTGTTTTTAATATTTAAACGAGCATTCAATTTTAACGTTCATTTTATATTTAAAAGCTAAAAAAATATTTTAATTTGAAGGAATAAAATCTAAATTTTATTTTGAAATTTGCCATAAAATATTGATATACCGTAAAATCCGGCGCATAACGCACATCGGTGTTTAACACGCTCCTATACTATCAAGCTGCATTTTTAATTTTAAGGTATTATATTCACGTACAACCCACTCCACTTATTTTGCGAAAGATCCTGCATTGTACATTAACAATGATATTATGCTTTAAAGCCATAGTCGAGGTATTACACTAAGAGTTTGAAAAAATGGTATATTTCTTGAAAAACAACCCTTAAGCTCAAAAGGTATTACATTTCTTTTAAATAAATAATATTCCTATCTTTGTGGAAGTCTGAGTTTTTTTATGCATATTTCTCTTTTTCTTAATTTTTCAAGCTATAATATTTATACCAGGTGTATAAAACGCTCCTGCAAATTTCCATCTTATTTTTTATATTAAAAATGCCCGTTATACGTCAGATGTTATGGTAAATAATATAAAAACAAAAAACTGTAGATAAATACTTTGAAGGTATTTTAATTTGCCCAATAATATAAGGAACATTTCCACATTATAGACAAGTTAATACATTTCGTTAATCTTATATTAATTTATAAAAACTACTATCTATGTAACATTAATCAACTACAAAAAATTTTATCCCATGTTTACAATCCTATCTATTCGAAATAGCCTTATTATGTTCGAAGCAGTTTACGTCATATTATGTTCGAAGCTATTACCTTTCCCTTAGATTACCCACAATGAGTATTGTCAGTAAGCATTGAACATTCTCTGTCTTTAATAGCTATTGCACAAACACAGCTCCTTTGACTTCATCCTTGCTAAGCAATTGAAGAACATACGATGAGATCTTAATAGTACGTAGTACGGATAGTTGACCCCGAAAATGGCCATTCACTGTTTTATCGCAGAAGAGCAATCGGTACTAAATGTATTCAATGTAATATTCTAGCTTTACAAGTGATTTGTAAGACACTGTAAAGCTGCTCAAATCCAGATGAAATGAGATGGCACAATATATATGCCCAATTATTAAACTAAAATTACTTTTGAAGATGCTTGCATGCAAAGATCTATTATTTGTCTGGTAGCTGTTAATAATAAACATTTTGAATAAATAGGCATTCATAATTTTAGCCATAGGTAAATACATAAAACCTACAAAAAAGTTTTATTATAATATAATCGGGTTTGTTTTATTTTAGTATTAAAATTATTTTTTATTCGTGCATTAAACATATAAAATTCTTAACTGCAATACAATTACACAAATATGTAATTCTTTTTAAACGAAATAGCTTAAATTAAGTACATTCAAAAATATAGTTAAATAATTTAATCAATTTTGCATAGAAAAAGAAAATTACATTTATTGTTCATTGGACATGTGTGGCTACCATCTAAGAGTGTTCTCCTTTGCATTATAATTTAAAGATAAGCTGAAGTAATGAAACAGAATGCATATAAGATTTTTCCATTTTGCGAGAGATCTGAAAAACGCGTAAATCAAGATTTATATTTTATAAACGCTAAATTCGTTACGCGGGCAGTGAGGATATTTCTATCTTCATTCTGAAATTCATTTAATGTAATTTTGAGTAAGTTTTTGTGTGTGATATAAATTAAAATTTACTAGCGTTGAAATTTAAAGTTATTACAATTTATTTTTTTCTAGAATTTCTGATGTGTATATAGATTAAATAGTTACTTTATTTAACACGTCCAGGAACATGATCATATATGGGATCACTTCCGAGAACATGGTATCATATGGTAGATTGCGCTTTGCCCGTTCTGAGGCCCATTAACACACCTGTGTGACCTTAATTTGGAACGTATGGAATTTGGAGTGATTTGGAACTATACTTTTGACGTATTTTATTACAATTATTTTATTTGAATTTTTAAATAAAATCACAAATTTAAGTGACAAAAACGAAAATGAATTATCCTTGCAATTTTCCATTTTCCTTTCTATATATGAAGCTGGACTATTTTTTTGTTGCTTTCATTAATTAAATTTAATCATTATAACAATAGTACAGAAAAAATAAATCACAAAGAAATTAGGCCATCTCAGGTGGGATCTCAACCCACGACCTTTGGATTACAAGTCCAACGCGCTATCCATTTGCGTTACAGGGACACAACGAACGATTTTTCTTTCTATATATGCTGTTGGATTATTATTTTTGTCTGTTACCTTTTCATTTTTAATATAACTAATGCATTTTTGAAAATGTATTAACATCAAGTGTGTTCCACCGCCATTTAAAAAAAAAATGTATGTGTACTTGAATAGATGAATAGAAAGTATTTTACTAACGAGTGAAAATTTGTTCAAGATATATACATATATATAGGAAGAGAGTGAACTAATAGTAGGAACTGAAAAATACAAGAAGAATCTTTGATCGTGCATGGGGGGAGGAAGAAGTCTCTATTTAAAAATAGATATTGTAACTGTCTTGACGAACTGCATGTGACCCGTTTATAGCCCCCCTCCCCCCATAATTTAGTTATAGAGACCTTAACCCTAAATATTTTACTGTTGTACAACAATATTAAATACAATTAAGGCACATTTCTCTTATGTTGATTAATAGGATGGTAATCTTTTCATCTTAATTTTCATGTACATTTCCCAAGAGAACTCTGCACTAAACAGTTCACAAACAACCATTTATAAAATAAATTATTAATGTTTCCCATCACAATATATTGCTCGATAGTCTCGATGTACCCTCCACGAATGATTGTTCAATGAGTATCTCAACGTTTTAATGATATGAATGAGTAATTCTATAACCCCCCTCCATCTTTGTTTTTACTATACTTTTTCCCCTATGATACAAATATGAAAATTTTCTATTAACATGAATCTTATTCATCTTAATTATTCTTTTTACTCAAGACACACTGGTGTAACATCACAGTACATACGATTTGAACAGCGTAAATTTTACATAATTCTGCTTAATAGCATAAACTTTGGATTCATCCATCCAGAAACGAATATATTTTAAATTAATTCTAAATTAAGTGAACGGTGAGTAATGGTCCTTCAACTGAATCTCATCAGAATGGTCTTAACAAAGGTTAGAATAGGAATTGGCCGGTCAAAATGCAACGCACAACGATTTCGTTTCAAAATATTCGAACAATAAGAGTTGAAAATGATATTCGGTAACCGAATGGGCCTTGTTTTGCATATCTTTGATTGTTAAATGTATACAGATATGAAACAAAGACACTATTATTCGAGAAATATCAGATTTAGAGTCGAGTGATTGTATAGCTGAAGATTAATAGTCATTTTAATATCCAAGTATACTAAAATACTTTGTATATTTGATTCTGGTTAATAAGTTCGACTTTGATTCTAAGTGTTCTTAGATTTATGAGGCACTTATTTTTGCCAGATAAATGTCTAACATTGATTTTATAAACGAGTTTTAAAAATATATGCATCTTAATTTTAAATATAGAATAGTTACAGTGCACTTCACTGTAAAGTATTGTGAGCGACTTTTACCGTTGAAGTTGCTCCCTCGCCATCCTGTCTACCTAAGGGTAGGGGGGGGGAAACAAAGCATGACCAGAAACTTCTATAATAATTATTTTATTATTATTCAAGCATTCTAATCAACCACAAGTTAAACCCCAAGAGGATGCTTTAGGATTGATATAAAGAAAGCAATACACCCTAAGTAAACAAGCGCAAGTAATCAGTTTAATTTAATCTAATCTATAAATTATCAATCCGGTAATTTAGTATCGTAGCAAACTCTGTTCTTAACTCAAGTTGTGGAAATCAGTTAAATCTCACCTTCGAAATGCCGCAACATTTTCTCCGCTCCTTCTACATTACAAGTACAAAACCCTTACTTTATATAGACAAAATAATCTCCATATCAGGGTTTCTTCTTGAGAGGGATGGCTGTGAATTAACGCGGATGCTAGTCCAAAGATTCCCCCTAGAGGATTAGTGTGAAGGTCGCGTGAAGATCCGTCATAGTATTAAAAATTTTAATTGGTATAAAAGTGTTTATTATTATAAAAAAAACAATTTAAGAGTAATATAGTCTTATTATATAATCGGAAATGCGGCAAGGTGAAGAATGATTTATTATGAATTCCTCCAAAAGCTGTACTTTTTTTATAAATATGGGAAAAATACGAAAGTTGCTTTCCAAGTGTAAAATTATTTGCCGTTTATTGATTTAAAAGAACTTCACACGTTTTTCAATAATTTCAATATAAATTCATGTGTGTTGTTTTTCCTGCAGGACTATTTTTCTTGTAGAGAAGTTGAGTTTTAGAGGATAAGTTTGCTTCTCAGTGTGAACTTGAAAAATTAAATTATTGCAACAGTAAGAGTCACCCGATTGGCGAATTTATCATGCTAAATGATAATTTTGGAGAAAAATATGATATTGTCAAGGAATCATCGAGAAGGCTTTAAGATACACCTTTGTAGAAATATCCATTGCGTTACATATAGTACCTTTGAAATAAGGCAGGATCAGTTCAGAAGTGTTAGGTCGTGTGCGATGATACAGAAATTTTATCTGTCTGTGGAATTTTTTAGAGAGCAGTTTCTGGATCGTTGTAAAGCTTGTTTATAACGAAAGCTATTTGCATTATTGTAAATAATTTATTATACTTCTTAGGAGAATATACGTTAATTTTTGTGTCTGCATGCAATCATTCGTTTGTCGTTTCACTATTAATAAATCTATTCTTACAATAATTGGAGTTGTCAACTGTTTTTCCCACCTACTAAAATTTGCATCAATATTAATACGAAATTATTTATTCTTCTAACTTAACTTATAGTAATACACTTTTTTCTAATTTCAATAACAACGTGCAAAATAACAGTATCTCTATTTTCCTGCAATGTGTTTGTGTCTTTCAATTATTTTTCATAATAAATACTCAACGCCATTGTGATGTTTACCACTTTCTAATGAAAAATGTTATGGCGTTCATTTGCAATAAATAGTGTATGTTTAAGTAAATTATGAAATAAACTGTATTTCTTCTAGGTAATATTTTTAGCACTCGTGAACTAATTCGGCAATTTAACAATTTTCCCTAAATTATTTTTTTTTCAATTTAGAGTGTTGATAACAAGGTTTTATTAAATATAAGTTTGTGACGGATCTATATGGTTCCTTCCACTAACTCCTTGGGGATTCTTTTAGGGCATGCATTCTTTCAACCAACTTTCACCGAGATAGGAAAACGTGATTATGCAAATTAAGTTTAAGTTAAGTTAAATTTCTGTATTCGTGAGTTTTGGAGAGAAGTGAGGACTTAAGTTTACTGAAGTGAGGATAGCTCGGATGTGAAGTGAATTAATGAGAAGCGAGCAATCCAGCTGTAGTACGCAAACAGTGTAGGACGTGTGAAGTCGGAATCTATAAGAAATGCTCAAGTCAACTATTAGTGTTCAAGGCCTCATCTAACGTATAAAGAATTGCAAGAGCTCAGGTACTGTGCGCATATTTTAAGTGGAAGTTAGAGAGTTAAATTGTTAGCGCACGTCCGGGGTATAGCGAGCTTGTATAAGTTATCGTAGGAATATATTTGAATAATCCTATATATTATATATCCCCACGCCATCTTGTCTCACCTCAGTCTTCTAACTAATGATCAAATTTATCTTAATTGGATTATTATTGTGTCTGTTGGATATTGTGACAAATAAGCAATTGTAGTGAATCATGTCGTCTGATCAATTAGTTCCTGCCACATATTTCACCGGGTTAGAGGGAAGAAGGAATATTAATTCCTTACAAGTTCTTATATATTTCGGTTATAAGTAATCTTTGAATCAATAAAACCAAAGCATTTATTGGAACAACCGAAGAGTTTTAGAAACAATGCATTTTTTAAAAATCTAAATCACACATATACGGTTTAAGCAGTGGAATCAATCGCCAGTTTTGAAATAAGAATCACGAGAATAATTTTAATGCCATCTTGTAGATGTTTATGACAGAGAGTAGTTTTCCCTGTTCTCACTGTTTCTTCAAGGATCGAATAAAATGACGTGAAAAAATTGAAATGTGTATAGTTTCTACTAGAATACAAAGAGCAATATTGTAAGTGATTTCAAATTGTAGAAATGATGCAAGTATTGAAGATTGTAAATGATTAGTTCTTAGGAAATATTAAATCTGTGACAGCAATTGATTGAATTTTAAACAAAAAAATACATCAAAGTTTTATTCCTAAAGCTGATAAATGAGAAGTGTTAATGAATTGAATTTATCATTCCAATTTATTACAAGAAATAATAATCTCGCATATATATACATAAAAATAAATTTTCTGAGAAGTTATAAATAATTAAACTGTAAAGACTTTTGATAGGTCATATTTAATTCCCAGAACAGAAGTGTTAATGTGAGAAATTATTTCATTATAACATTTTACAGAAATTTTGCATTTTAATTCAAATACTTTTTAGTAACAGATCTAGAATGCGCTATTTATTATTTAATTTTTTAGAATTTAAAAACAGAATTGGTAATTAATGCGTTTGAAATTTTACAAACTCCTTTTTTCAATTAATGTAAAATATTCATAATTTAAAGAAAAACAGGCATTGAACTAACTATCAATAAAAAAAATATCGAATTCAAAGAAAATCACGCAAACTAAAATAATATGAAAGAGATATTATGTATTTCTTTCCCTTTGATTATTTATTCCCGTTGTAACTGTTTCTTTTTCTTTACGAAATTCTGTGAAATATTTGCATTTATATCAAATTAATTTAAATTCAAAAAATAAATTTTAATGATTAGCCCATATAAATAAAGACGTTCAAATGTAAGTACTTCAAAGGAAAATAAGTGCATATAATTGAAAAGCAAAATTATGTGTGTCAACTTGGAAATAAACTATAAATGAATTATCAATGCATGTGTAAGATTGTTCTTAAAATTCTAAAAATTGTTCTTTAAAACATTTGTTCTCGTTTTTTTTTTTTGAGATATGGGTAACTTGAGGCTGAATTCATAAGACAAAAAGTATTTAAATAAATTATAGTTTAAAAAAATCCCCACCCTTTTATAGTTAAATGAACTAAGTTGTAACTTAATATTTATTCGCCAAATCTGAAAATGGGAT